ATTATAGAAAAATTAATTGTATTGTTTGAATTATTCAATAATCTAAGAAATTGAATGCTTAATGATACATATTTTCAGGGACATATATAGGTGAAAGTTCTTATTAAGTTTAATAAAAAGGTTATAGAATTTATATATTACTATAGTAAAAAGTTTCGTTATAAATAGTTTAATTTTTATTCTGATATATTTTTATCATATATAGTATGGATATTAGAGATTATTTTTATAAATTTTATAATTTTTATAATATATTGATCTTTCTTTAAACTCAACTAAGATAATAATTCAATATCCTCAGATAACTCTTGAATTCCAATATGCATTATGAAAGTCAATGATAATTTCCCTCAAATACTAAAAAATAAGTAAGATATAAAGATAAACTACTTCTTAATTTATATTTGTTAATTTCGAATAAAAGCTTATAATGAAATAGGATTTTTAAAAAACGGATAAAAAGGATAAAACTTATTTAGGTACAATACCATTTCTTAACACTATACTATTTGTCTGATTTCTTGCAATTTCTTTTGACTGTCGACTGTGAGGCCTTTGGAGAATCAAACTCTTCATCAAAAATAGTATTACTTTACAAATAATTAGATACTATTGTTAACGTTCTATAATATTTTAAAAAATTCTAATTTTCTCTAAATAAATTATATTTTTTAAATGATAGATTTTCAATTTTTAATGAGGTTCTTAAAATCCTAAATCTTTAAAAAAAAATCTCAATTAAATGAGAATAATATTGAAGCGTTTCAGTAATAATTTTTTCATTTATTAAAATTATGAAATATTACTCGAAGGAAACAATTATTTTTATCTTAATAACTTCTAGTTTTAAATATGTGAAGAAATCATCCTTTATAATAGTAAAAAAAAAAAAATAGATAAAAACTCAATCAGAGACAAAAATAATAATAATTTGAAATTAAAATGTTAAATATTATTTAATGATTAGAATTTTTTTGATTATACCTTATCTAATTATAATAAATATATCAGTATATTTTAAGAATTTCTTAATCTTATAATATTTTTATAATTTTAATAAATAATTGATTATTAGAAGACTAAAATTTTATATAAATTACTATAATAATGATTGATTTATACTAAATAGTTATTATTCATTATTTAAAAAAAAAATAATTTAAAGTAATCATAATTCTAATATAATAAAATTTGTGATAAGATTTATAGATGATTATAAATTAAGTTTTATGGGACATTCATTTTTCACATTTGAAATAATTATAAGGATAATTATGGATTAAAAATTTCTTTAATTGATTATAAAAAATTAAACTAATTTAAAAAAATCACTATTTCAAATATTAGCCAATTGAGAAGTAATATTCTTTCAAAAAAACAAATATATTCAAAATTGAATTGTGTATATAGTAAAAAAGAAAAATAGAAAGATTGAAAATTGAATAAAAAATTAGAATTAGTTTGAAATTAAAGAAATTATAAAATTGAATGCATATTTACTGATTTTTCATTATTATTATGATCTTAGGCAAAATTAGGCTAATATTGTTAAAAGAATTACCTAAAAATTCATCATTTATTTATTTATTTGGCATGATTTATATTGCTTAATTAAACAATGAATAAGCATTTTTGTATTTTTTATATTCTAATAAAATAAAAGCTAAAAGATAATAAATTAAGATGACCTTTTCCATATAATGAATACGCATGCTAACTATTTATGGCCAAAACTTTTTCGTACCATTCTAGAGCTTATTCGAATTGATTCATTAATCTTAGGCAATCACCTTTAATTAAGTTTCATTCAAATTACCTTTTCCACATTATGAATACACATGCTATGGATTTATGGCCAAAGCTTTTCCATACCATTCTAGTGCTTATTCGAATTGATTCATTAATCTTAGGCAATCGCCTTTAATTAAGTTTCATTCAAATTACCTTTT